ATTGAATCCCCAGAAATGACAGTAATATTAAAAACAAGGTGCAGCAATAAAATTTGTTTAAAAAGTTGCCAGCTTTGTATCTTCTCTCCTCTTCATTTCCAGTCTTCAAGCTGAGCTGATTATTTCTTTGAAAGACAGTGTCTTGCCCTTCAATCCCATGCTTTCCATTCTCCCTGCTTTGCATCTAGTTCAGGTCTTACCTTTGCAATAGGTTCTTACCTTATTCCTTGATTCCAATGTCTCCTCAATCAGTCAACAAGTACTTATTAAGTATCATATCTACTATGTCCTAGTCATTAAGCTAGGTTCTGGGAATACAAGAAGAAAGAATGAAACAATTGCTGCTCACAAAAAAACATATTCTTGTGGAAGAGATGACAAGTAAGTAGAGAAGCATGTATAGCACAAATATAAAGTGAATAAATACAAAGTACTTTGAGAGGTCCATGGTACTAGGGGTTGAGAAGAATCAGGAAAGCCTTCATGTAAAAGATGGTACTTGAGTTGCATCTTAAGGAAAGAGAATAATTCTGTGAAGTAAAGAGGGAGAGCATTCCAGGCATGTGGGACTGCCCACCCAAAAGAATGGAGATGAGAAATGAAGTGTTGTGTATGAGAAACAGAGAGAAAATTTCAGTTTGGCTGGATTTCTCTGTGTGTGTGTGTGTGTGTGTGTGTGTGTGTGTGTGTGTGTGTGTGTGTAGGGGGAAATAGAATAATGTACAATGAGGCTAGAAAGATAAGATGGAGTTAGATTGTGAAAGTATTTTAAGAACTAAATAGAGAAATTTGTATTTAATTCTAGGTGCAATAGGAAATTGCTAGAATTTGGTTAAGTAAGTCATGTGGTCTGCACTTAAGAAAATTAGTTTGGCAGCAGTGTGGGGGATGGATTGGAGTGGTGAGATTCTTGAGCCAGGGAGATAAAATAAGAAGCTATTGCAATATTCTACGTAAGATGTGATGATGGCCTGAACTAAGGTGGTAGCTATGTGAATGGAGAGAAGGGGTCAGATGTGAGAAATGTTATAGAGCTAGAAACAATAAGATTTGGCAACTAATTGGCTATGAGGTAGACCAAGAAGTTGAGGGTACAGACTTAGGAGACTAGAAGGATAGTTGTGACTTCAACAGAAATAGAAGAGTTTGGAAAAGGGGAAGAAAAAGATAATGAGTTCAGTTTTGGACATATTGAGTTTGAGATATGTACATTACTCTGAAATATCAATAGGTAATTGGTGATATAGACTGAAGTTCAAGAGTGAGACTGGGTCCTAACATATTCATCTATGAGTCATCTGCATAGAGGTGATAGTTAAACTCATGGGAGTTAATGAGATTACCAAAAGAAAGAATATAGAGGGAAAAGAAGACCATGGACAGAGCTTGGGGAATACACACAATTAGGTAGTTGATTTGGATGATGAACTAATGAAAGAGCTAAGAAGGAACAGTTAGATAAAAGAACTAGGAGAGAGTTGTGTTATGAAACCCTAGAAAGGACAGATGATCCAGGAGCAAAGGGTGGCCACTAGTGTCAAATGAAGCAGATAGGTCAAGAAGGATGAGGACTAAGAAAAGGGCACACATTTTGACAATTAAGACAGTATTGCCAACTTCAGAGAGATCAGTTTCTGTTGAGTGATGAGTCTGGAAGCCACATTGCAAAGAGCTGAGGAGTGAAAAAAAAAAAAGAAAATTGGAGCAGTAAGTAAAGGCAGTTTTTTCCAAGAAGTTTGGCTGCAAAAGGAAGTAGAGATGTTATGACAATAGCTTGACAGGGATGGTAGAGCCTAATTAGGGAAGAAATAGACATGTTTATAGACAGTACAGAAGAAACAAATGGATAAGAAAAGGCTGAAGATTCTTAACAGAGAGGGGATAATTGAGGATACAATCCGCTGGGGAAGTGAAAGGGGTCAGGATCAAGTGTACATGCAGGGGTTCTGGCCATCAACAAGGAGAAGGGTCACTTTTCCAGAGATTTGGGGAAAGGAGATGAAAAGGAGAGGATGTCAAGGAGTTCTGAGATGAAGAGAATTAGAAAAGAAAGTTCACATCAAATGTCCTCAGTTTTCTCAGCAGAGTCAAGAGAGAGTGGAAGGAGGATGGATGGGGGTTTTGAGGAGGAAAGATAAAAGTTTGAAATAATTTCTGTGGGGAGTAAAATAGGGAATTGATTAGGGAATAACTGAAGGATCACCTTGCTTCAGTGAAGGCCCAGTTGAAGTTGAATAACATGAATTTGTAATGTACCCAGTCAGCATGGTTGTGAGACTTCCCCCAGCTGTGTTCAACAGCTCTTGAATAGGGACAAAGAAGTGAACTGTGGGTATGATTCAAGGCTGGGATTTGGCAAGAGATAAAAACTGGTAGGATGGGGTGGGGTAAGGGATTTGAAAACAAGGTACAGTATAGAGTTGCAATGCCTAACCACTGGGTTGAGATTGGAGAGGGAAGAAAATAAAGTCAGAGCAGGAGTGATGGTCCAAGAAAATACGGAACAGTGGAGAGATTGGAGGTCTTAATTGGGGTAAAGATAGGTTTAGGAGGGATGAAGCATAGGGAGAAATGGAATGGTAGGAGTTTATATGAGAAAGGAAAATGTTAGGGTTTTAAACGAAGGAAGTGGAATACTTGTGAGTAAGATCTGGCATATATGTATGACTGAGATGGAGTGAAGAATTTGGTCATGGAATTTAATGAGACTGAGAATTGGGAGGTAAGGGTGTTTGAAAGAGTATCTATGTGAATATTAAAGCCCCCTCATACAAGGATAGGAATTGGGGAGTAGAAGATGATGAGCCAGTAGTAAACTCCTTGAGAAAGGAGAAAGACTGATCTAGGGTTCAGCATATTGTACTATCATGATAATTTAGCTTGTCTGGAAATTTTTGATTGAATGAACTTCAAAGGAGGAAAGGTTACTGAGTAATGGAGGTAAATGGAGATTTTAGAAGTGACAACGGGGTGCAAGTAGTATTACAACTCCGCCTCTGTGACCAGGGTGTTTTTACTGGAGACCGTGTTAGAGAAGATATATATCTCTCACTGGATAAGTGTTTTTTTTTGGGGGGGTGGAGCCAGATCTCAATAAAGGCTGTAAGATGTAAGAAATGTGAAAAAAAGAAGTGCAGGAGAAAGAGATGTTTGTTCACTGTGGAATAGAAATTACAGAGGAACAGTGGAAGGGGTGGGCAAGGTTAAAGTGGAACCTGGTAAGGTTGAAGAGGATAGAGATGAGAGAACAGAAGGTGGAAATAGAGGACAGTTTGCTCTGTGGCTGGTAATTGTTCAAAAGAAAGGGAGAGAAACAAGAAGACCCATAGAGTTTGTAGTGGTTGACAGATGAATAGTAAAGTTCACAGGCTCCATGGAGTATTACTATCCTATGGCCAGTAGAGTGCAGAAAGATAAATACTGCCCAGTGGAGGCAGAAAATAGCAGAGATAAAGGTTTGTAATTAGATAAAGAATCTTTTGACCAGGTGGCCCCTTGATTGACAACCCTCTTCATTCCCCCACAAAAGCTTTCCTTGTCTCTTGGCTACTGAAAACAACTGCCTCAACTGATTGATTTCCTTAGAATTTCTGTTAGGACAGTTCAAGCTGTGATATCCCCTTAAGGAAGGCAGCTAGGGGGAAAGCTACAGCTTATGTATTTCCTGGAGATCTAGCCTGATATTCTGTAGGACATAAGGTGTGGCTAGGCAGCACTAACTGATTGACTCAGGAAAACTCCTTTAAAAAGGTTTATCTTTCTGGGTATTGTTCACAGGTGCTCCCCACAGGAGCTGGAGGTGAAAGTGGTCTTTCCCTTATCTTAAACCTTGAGGTATTGGCAAGAGGGTTGGATTGTAGAGAGAGAGAACTAGATTCAAATCCTATCTTTGCCATTTGCTCTCTGAGTGACCTTAGGCAAGTCATTTACACCTTCTGAGCCTCCATTTATTCATCTATAAAATGAGAGAGTTGGAGTAAATAATCTTGTAGCTTTCTGGTTCAAAACTGATGACCTTTTGAACTCCCATTGCATTTATTGTTTATGTGACTCATATGGCATTTATTTTATGCTGTTCTGTATTAAAGTTATTTGTGTGCCCAAGATTTCCTCATCTAGATTGTGAGATACATGGAGACAAAGATAGAATCTTATCTTTCAATGTATCCCCTATAGCAGTTATATGGACATTTGATCGTAGTAGATGCTTAGTAACTACTTATTAAATAAATTAAATAAGTTGCTAGAAAATAAGCATTTTTGTAAATTATTTCCCCAATAACTTACAATTTGGGAGCTATTTCACCTTCATTTTATTGATCTTCAGAATAATTTAGCCTTTAAGTGTCTCTGCCTTTTAACCTCTCTGAAATCATCAATAATCTGTTAAGAAAAACTTGAATGGACTGGGGAATTCTACATAAAGGAAACCTATGGTAAGGTCTTTTATACCCTGTCCCTAATGCAGTGGTTCTTAACCTTGAGTCCAAAGACCCCAAAGAGGTTTGTGGATAGATTTCAGGGCATCTGTGAACTTGGATGGGAAAATACATACATACACATACATATACACATACATATATAACATATACATGTACATATATATACATATATCTTTACTTTCATTAACCTCTAACTGAATTTTTATATTTCTTTAAATTATTTAAAAACATAATTCTGACCAGAGTGCCTGAAAAGGCTAAGACCTCTAGCCCTAGTATATCTGTTTTTTATGTTAAGAATTTCATAAACTGCATCTTCTTATAGAGAGGTACTCCTTCAACCTAATAATAGGATTGCCATATTCATTATATTTTTTTGAGCACATCAAATCTTGGTTCACCAAGTCATAGAGGTTCCAATCTGTGCTGTGGAGGTTGTCCCCAAACATATTACAACACAGATCCTTGAAGTATTGAAATATTCATTACAGCATGTTCAGTGCTTCATGACATATTGAAGGTCATTTGCTCATAGTACATTCTTTCACTTTTCTCTAGGAGATTGAGGATGTAAGGAGTGATGGTGAAGAAGAGTCTGCTGAAGAGGATGAACCAGAGTGTTTGAAGAATGGTCATGGGAGAGTCAGGAATCCAATTCCCAATGGTCAGCCTGGTCATTAGGTCTGAGCCCCACAGTCCCTCATGTAGTGCTATCTGATTCTCATGGGGGCATCTAACTCAAAATGCTGCATAGAACTGAGAATCACAAGCTCTTCTGTACCACGGATGGATTTATTGCTGCTTACAAGGCCTTGAGAAGAGCCCATTTCCCCAGTGTGCCTCCTCCTATCCCACCAAAATTTTTTCTTAAGGAAAATTTGTCAATGGGCAGGTCATCTTGAGGTTTTGTTCTTTTAATGTTTAAACTGGTGTGTGAAACATTACCTAATTATTTTACAACATTTAAGGCTTCAGTTAGGCAAGGATTTTAAAAGTTTCTTCAGAGAAAGGCTTAAATTATGATTAGGTTAATCTTACATTTCAGATATTTTGATTTTTAGAAATCTGTCATTCTCTTATCCCCTTACCTCCACAACCTGACCGGTACTTACCTATGATTTTGGAAGTGTTATCAGGGTTTCTTCACATAAGCTTTAGTTATAGTGAGGAGAGACTTGGAATGTTGTTCAGTTTCCATGATAATTCCACACCTTTTGAAAGAGAGTTCAGCTTCTATTTAGTCAGCCATTCTAGGCAGGGAGAAAAGGAATTTCCTCCTAATGGCGATAGTGTCAAGTGAACTTATATGGTTTTCCTTCTGGTATCACAGATAGCCATTAAACACTGCTTTCTGGGTTTGGGTTTTTTTTTTTAGCATCTTTATCTTGGCCTTGCATCAGACTATATGCAGGAATTTTGTACTTAAGTGTTTTATATAGCTATAAAGGACATAAAAGTATGAGCAACTGGAAGAGTAGGGGAGGGGAAGCTTCTGGTTGGAACCTAATTTTACCAACATGAAACAAAGTCACCCAAATTCCCCAGTGTGGCTGCATCCCTGATTTGCCACCATCAGGACTGAAGTCAGTGTATCTAAGGGAAGAGAAGTAGGAGAACTGAGGATATACATGAGGAAGGATTAGAATTTTAGTATGGTATTCTAGCTGGTATCATTTGTCCCACCTCCTTTTCTTTCAGGTTATATTTCCTAGTGGTATTTAGTTCTTTCTGACTATTATGAGTTCTTAATATAAGAGGCATTTACAGGACTATCACTAGGAAACTATGCCTGCCTAACAGATACTGGAGGTGTTGTTGGACACACTGGATCTCTTTTGATCTGTAGGCTGTGGGTCTGTTAGTCAACAGCAGCAGTTCATTGTTTCATTCTGTGACTCAGTCTTCCATGGAGTATTCGATACACATCTAGTTTGTGGATAGCAAACAGTCACCTATCAACCATTAAAGAAGAGGAGGACTTCCTTTCCTGCTTTTGCCTTCCCATTTTGAAAATACACTATGCAATTGATCAAATATATCAAAACTGAGTGGTCAAAAGAAGTCACTGGAAATGGAACCTGCATGCTAAACTGCCTCATCTGCATTAAGGAGGTAAAACTGTACTAATATTTCTTTTAAAAACTTAAAACATTGGAAATAATATGGAAAAGATTGCAAATCCTGGACATAAATGAGATAAACCAAGGTGTTGGTGAGCTTATTGGAAAATCGAATGGATATTCTGCAGGATATATTGTTATGGAAGGGGAAACTGCAAAAGGTATTTTTGCAGTATGGAGTATTGATGGGTTTCTTGGTGCTAGAGAAATGAGCTATCATTCTTAATGAGAAGTTCATTCAATCCAACATGTATTTATTAGTGCAAGGCATACAAAGACAAAATAAAGAGTTCCTCTTCTCAGATAGCTTTCATTCTACTGGAGTTGCTTGGAAAACTCATGTTTGGAGTCCTATTGCCTTCAGACAAATTCCCTGGAGATTCGTTTTTATGATATAAAACTATTCTTGGATTTGCTGGTAACCAGAACTTTACTTACAAGAGACTTTTTTTCTCACCAGAATTAATTTTTCCTTCAATTGCTTTAATTTTGTTTGTGTGCGTCAGTTGGTACCTTTACCATCTCCCTTTGATGAGTGACCTAGCAAACTCTAGCCACAGCATGAAACCAAACCTGGAAGTAAGATTGTAAAGGCATTTACATAAGGACAGCAGTGTCATCCTGGAATGTGAAGGACATTGAAAAACCTCTGAAGACATTTCTGAACCAAAAATATAAAAAGAAACAAAACTACTTTGGACCATAACAAAGACCTTAAAAACATTATGACTGAAGAAATATTTTTGTGGAATAAGATCATCAAAGAAAATAGTCCAGCAAAGAGTATATCATTTTCCATCATAATATTTGCTTCTATGTACATAAAAGCATTTGTAATATATGTTATCTATATGCAAATGTATATGCATGTATATAGAGACAGATACAGAGAAATTCACAAACAATTCCTCATGATTTTAGTGGATTTTAATGGGAGCAGGGGGAGATACACACTTACGCCCTACTTTGCTGTCTTCGTTTAGGTAGCTAATTCTTCTAGACATCTTTTGCCTTGTCACATAAAATGTGCTTGCTTGTAGTAAAATGTCTTCCCAAACATAACTTGTGCACTATTTCCACCCTTACTTTTCTAGTTTAAAAATTAAACTACAAATTTGAAAAGGAAATTTGATTAGTAATTAGTTTGTAGGGTTTTTTTTTCTCATTTTTATGTAGAAGGTAATTGAGAGCTAAAATCCCATTAGTTACAGAGAGCATTGTGTTACTTTAAAGGGAAGTGTTCATTTTTGTGATTGATTTTAAAGATAACAAGTTTCTATGGGGAAAAATACATAGGACCATACAAAAATAAGAGGTCATAAATAATGCAATCCCCAGTGTCAAGAATTATTGTTCTGATGTTATAGAGAATATCTTATAATAAAATAAAGACAAAAATATTTCTGCCTTTTTGTGATGATTCAACAAATCCAACATCCCCAGACGATTGATACATTTTGCAAAGAACTACATTAGCTGGTTTCCTAGTAACAGCTACTCTCTAAAATAAGTGGATGCAGGGCTCTGGTACTAATACTAAAACTAGGAATGATAATAGCTGACATTTATGTAGCGTTTTAAAGTTTACAAAACATTTTACATATATTCTCATTTCATTCTCACAACGACTCTGTGGAGTAAGTACCATTAGTACACAACTATGTGGTAGTTTAAAATAGTATTGGCCCTTATTTTACACATGAACACATTTTGCCTTACCACTGTTTAAGATTTCAGTCTCTTAGTTGCTAAATATAATTATCTTTTCTTAGTCTCCATCTTTACTGGCCTCTTTGGAGCATTTGACACTGTTGAGACTGCTCTTTCCTGGATCTCCTAGCTGCCTACCTGCTTCTTCTGTCCTCTTCTGGATCATAATCTATGTCCCACCCCCTACCTATAGGTCTCCAGTAATCCTTTTCTGAATTTTCTGGATCCTTTTCTACTCACTCTGTCTCATCAGTTCCTCTATGTTTAATTATTATCTATTTGCAGATGATTCCCAGATCTACATATCTAGCCTGAGTCTCTTTTGAACTCTGGATTCTGTTGAATTTCTCCAAAAGGATATCCAGTAGGCATCTCAAACACAACTTGTTAAATATGGAAATAATTTTCCTTTTCCCTAAAACTGCTCTTCCTCCAAACTTCTCTACTTCCATGGAGATAGAAGTCAAACAAGTGTGCATCTGGTTCAAACTTATTTTACTCTTCCCTGCTTTCCATCCCAATATCCAACCGGTTGACAATCCTTATTGATTTCACCTCTACAACACAGCTTCAATTCCCTCACCTCAATGCATATAGCTTCACCTGTCTTCTGTCTCTAGTTCTTCAGCACTTAGCACAATTCTACTTAAATCCTCATTGGATTAAATGAGAACACTAAGGCTCAGAATGGGTAACTGACTTGCCTCTGTTGCACTAGAGGCAAAATTTAAAACCATGTGTCTCCTGATAACAAGTGATCTTCTCTCTCCAGAAAGATGTTCTCTAATCCCTCAGAAATGATCTGTAGTCAGAGGAATAGCATAAGAACAATACAAATGCTGTGGGGAGATGATGATGGACATTTTATTTTAGGTCTCAGATACGGAATTACAATAAAGGATGGGGGAAAAGGGGTCTATGCCTTATTATTTGGCACCACTTCAATCCCCTCACTCAGTTCTCTCTTTTGAGACACTCAACCTGTTTATGATTTATACAGCTAGTAAATGGACTGGAATTAACCTGTTTGAAGTATATAGGAGAAAAGGTAGACAATTTCAAGGAAGGGTTTACATGGTAAAAAAGAAAATGAAGAGAGAATTCATTTATTATTCCTTGGGAAAGTGTTTTCTCAATTAGTTTTCTATGCCCACATTACAAAAGCCATTGGATCTAGAGAATAGGTTCAATAATTCAAACTCTGTTCGATGCCCTGTGATTAAGCCCTTCTAATAGACACATGAAATGACCTGGCTGTGCTTAAAGTAGCTCGAGATGAATTGGATGAAGTACTGGGCTCGGAGTCAAGAAGACCTAAGTTCCGATCTCATTTCCATCTCTGAAATAGGGAAAATCATCCCCATGCTTCTGAGTCTGAAATAACATTTGAAAACACTTTACATATCCTCATACTTAGCACAATGCCCAGCACATTGCAGGTGCTTAATCAATGCTTACTGACTTGACTTTGAAATTTTTTATAAATGCCAGGTACATTGTTGTTGTTGTTGTTGATGATGCCTTTAACCAAATGAACATTTCTAACTGCTCTAGCTCACAGAAAGTAAAGGGATCATTTTAACCACCAAAGTATCTGCGAGCAACTGATTCTTCTGAGGATATCACCTCATAGAAACCTTAGTTATCAAAAACGGTGACATTAGACATCTAGTCCTGATACCTAATTAAGCAGGAACTTTAATCTTCTCACTATAAAATACTGAATGACAGGATTCAAATACATATTGACAGGTCAAAACATTGAGTCCAACCTAACTGGATGAAATTTAGGCCTAAATGTATAGTCTTATACTTAGGTTCAAAAATCAACTTCACATTTAGGGGAGGCGTGGTTAGACAGAAGTTTCTCTGAAAAAAAGATGGAATTTTAGTGGACTAGTAGCTCAATGTGACTCAACAGTGAAATATGGGAACCAAGAAAATGAATTAGATATTGACAGCATTAAGAGAGGCATAGTTTCTAGGAATAAAAAGATGATGGTCATGTTGCATAGGTCAGACCACATCTGGAGTATTGTTTTGGGTTCTGAGCATCATATTTTAGGAAGAACATTGATTAAGATGGAAAGCATCCAGAGGAGGTCAACCAGCATGGTAAAGGACTTAGAATTCTTGCTGTGGAAACACATTAAAAAGTTCCCTTTTTAGTAAAACTGAAAATAGTAAGAACCAGTATTCTTCTCTAAAGACTTCTCCAAACTCCTGGGAAAAAACCCTTTGGAAAGGTAGATTATCCTAAAGGGGAAAAAACAAAGGCTTGTTCTTAGGTGAATAGATTAAGAGTGATAACCAGAAATTTAACAAAGAGTAACTCTTATCTTGTTCACACCATTACTCCCCACTGGAAGTTGCTTAGTGTTAAGATCCACTGTTTCCACAGAGAAAGGATTAAGATAGCAGTGAGAAGCCAGAGGTCCCTTTGTTTAATTCAGATACTGAAGGGAGTGGTCCAGGAGAGGATGAGATAGTGACTTGTTACTCAGATCCGAAATGCTAAACCAGTCTGTGTTTTAAGGTACATTTTTCCTTGTTCAAAATTTCTATATTACTTGAAATCTTCTTGGGGAAGAGAGTCATGTCAGAGAGCATGGGAGATTATGCCAGTTGGACATCTCTCTTTCCAAATTAGAAATGCCTTGGATTTAGATCAATGTTCAACTAAATAAAATGGCTTCTGGCAGTCTTGGACCTAAATCCCAAAGCACAGCATTAGTATTAACTCTAGAAAAGTTGGAATTTAAGAAACAAATTGAAGGACCAAACTGCCAATTAACATAATACATTTTTAAAAAATCATAAGGCAAATAGAGATAGAATGAAAATTTTATTTCAACATGAAATTATAATTAAATTTTGTGTCCATTGACATGCCTGGTCCTTTTGCTGTACTTTTTTCTTTGATAGTGCCGTAAGAGGATCGCTTGAAGGGAAACTGCAAATGTTTAACATTGAGAGGAAAAGACTTACAAGGTATATGTTATCTTTCTCCAAGTATTTGAAGAGCTCTTGTGTGGAAGAGGGCACAAGTGGAAGCAAGATTGGAACTTGCAAAGAAGCAAATTTAGGCTTAGTGTAAGGAAAAACTTCCTAATTATTTAAACTATTTATTTATTTGTGGGGGTGGGGAGACAGTTGGAGTTAAGTGACTTGCCCACAGTCACGCAGCTAGTAAGTGTCTGAGGCCTGATTTGAACTCAGGTCCTCCTGACTCCAGGACCAGTGCTCTATTCGCTATTTCAGCTATAGTGGTTTCCCTCTCAGTGGATACCTTCAAGCAGCATCACAATGATCACTTGTCAGGTATGCTAGAGAACAGGGGCTCTTAGCTTTTTTGGGGTCGGGTTTGGCAGTTTGGTGAAATGTATGGACTCTTTTTCAGAATAATATTTTTGGTTTTTTTGATTCATAATTGAAGGAAATTCTAAATTTCAGTTAGAAGTTTGTGAAAGTAAAGGTGTGTTTTCTTTTCTGACCCAAGTTCATGGACTGCCTGAAATATAGCCACCATCTCTAGGTTAAGAACTCCTGTTACAGAGGAAATTCATTTTTCAATTAGGGGTCAGAGTAGATGGATAATTAATTCTCTTTCAATTTTGAGTGTATTGTTCAATGAAATTCCCTTTAAAAAAACCTTTTAAAGCTATCAGTATAAATATGTGAGTTTGTCAGGCAAGTGTCATACAATGAGTGGTATTCTAACCATGAGCTAAAGCCAGAAGATGAGGATAAGTACTCTAAGACATGCTATTTTGCCACAGGGAGTTCAAACTAAAAGGGAAAAAAAAAACCATCGAAAGCTGTTCAGGAAAGCCTATATCCCACTGCCAGTGCCAATAATACAGTGTTGTCTCTTGACATTTGTCCACTGTGAAGAGCAATTTTCCCATTAAGTCAACAGAACAGGAAAGGGCATGGAATACTGTATCTTTGGAAAATGTAAACAGAGAGTGATGTTTTCAGGGTTTTAAATACATGAGAAAAGAAATCTGTAAACAATTATAGCTTCTCACCTACTTTGTTGTTTCCTCTATGTAAGATAGCATGCCTCTGTTTTTATAGCATTAATTCATCAAGTTCTCCTTTGTCTCTTTTTTATGGGCAGGTTACAGTCTCCTGCCTGGCCAGGCCTTTCATTTATGTCACTGGACTGTATGTTATCTTAAACAGCCACAGCTGGGGAAGGGGCCTGGGGAGGCAGTATTTTCCTTTCGAAATCAGCATTTTTTTTTTTTTTGGTTTCTTCACAGTTTGCAACTCACTTGCAGCCAACACTCACAGAATCCTGCCTGCTTAACATGAAATATTTTTCAGCATTTGCTACAGTTTTTGCAAACCGAATACACAGAACCCTTAAGCTTTGCTTCATTCTATACCTGCAACATGTGGACAAATAGGGATGGGGGTGGGAAGCAGGTGAAATCATTTGACATGAAAAGGTTTCATAGACCATATGATCTTCCAAAGGAAAGGGAGTGAGAATATCAAGAGCTAACATTTCAACTGTGAAAACTTCTGGTTAGCAACTGGATTATTTCAAACAGACACTCGAGGACACAGTCTAGAGGGGCACCAATTTTCCACATGAGTTGGCTTGGCTGGGTCAGAAATTCCTTAGGAAAATAATTTCTTGCAGTAT